CAAAATAATTTTATTTAATTTTTTAGTAACAATAATCAATTTTATTTTTGACAACAAACAATTACAATATTTTTCTTTGTCACTATTGATATTTTTATGATAATTTTGTGTGCGATAAACAAAAAATTTCTCAATTTTCTATGTTATAGTGACGAACTAGTACAACACCCGTGTATTACACGGGTGTTTGCTAATTTTTTTTCTTAAAATTTAAAATTAATGAGAAAAAATAGTTTGAAAATTTAAATACCTTTTATAAGAATATATATATATTATTATATATTTATTATGATACTTTTTATTTGTGCGACTTACTTGTGTTATATTATACTAATTTTTTAACTTACACTATATAACTACATTAAATATAAATATATCAATTGAGAAATAATTTTATTTTTCTAATGAATTTAAAAAATATTATTATTTTTTATTATTATAAAGATAAATATAATTTATTTATTTTATATATACAATATGGATGTCAAATCGAAGATCATCAAAAGATGATTAATTTTATATATTATATATGTAAAACCGATAAGAAATACAAAAGTTATCTACTTTTAAAATACATTTATAATTCAATAGCTTATTGAAGGAAGCAAATCAAAATTTAGGGATATATTAGTCAGTTAGTGTCTCACTATGTAAAATTACAAATAATTAAAGGGTTATATTAGTAAAAGTGATATTAAAATACCTAAGTTAACTAAATAATATTTATGGAATACCCGAACCTAGATTATTAGTTATTAATATATTAATATTATTTGTCCAAACCTAATTACGAAACATGATTCTTCGCGAAATAGGATTCCGAAGCACCAGAAGCAGCCACGTAGGCTCAGCGCATTCTGGAATTATATATAGGGCGGATTTTATTTTCTTCAATGAAAAATACTATTTTGTGGCATTTATTCTTGTCTTATATTTTTTATGATAAATCTTTCAATGGTAAGTGATATTTTGTCACAATTTAGTAAATATTAGTAAGGAATCCTATTTTGTCACTAATATTTATGACAATATTAATTTCTACAACAAAGTTATATATTTTATGGCGATTTTGTCACAATTAGTAGTTTAGTGCAATAAAATATTAAAATTTTCCTTGTCATACTAATTGTGTGGGAGCTAATGGGCTTGGGTCTCTAGATTGGGCCTTGTG